GGGGACGGCCCTTCCCCTCGGCAAGGGTGGGGACCGCCATCTTGTGGCCACAAGCTCAGGTCCTGGACGGGGTCGCCGCGAGGACGCCAACAGGACACCTTGCTGAGGAACACAGACCCGACCGTCCGAAAGCCCTGGCTCTGGTTTCCTGTTACCTGTGAGCAACACAAACCCTAACGGACACCCCCGCACACAGAACAGCCCACGTCAGCCGGTGGGCCAGGCAGGCCGTGGCCACTAAGGGGACGGGGCGGCGGGAGAGAGAAGCTGGACGACGTCCACCGGCAGCTCCTGGGAGCCTCGGCCGTACCCCTTCCTTGTTAGTGTGGGTGGCACTAACCACGCAGCGTCCCGGTCCCCGGGCACTGAACACGCGGACGCGTGGCCCACAGCGCGGCCCGCGAGGAACTCCAGGTCCCGGCGTGAGAGGGACACGACCCGGAGACCTGCAGACCGCGGGAGGTAACGGAGGCTGAGTCGCTGCACACAGGGCCGCAGAGCGAGGAGCAGCCGCTCACGCCCGCTTCCCCGCCCTCAGCCTCGGAGACAGAGGAGAGACCGCGGGCTCTCGGTCATGCGGCTGCTTTTTCAACGTCCTGATCCACAAAAGAAACCATTAGAGCAAAAAGACAAACAGGTAACAGACTGATTTTTAAAACTGCTCCTTTAAACCTGTACAGCAGACTTAACATTTTTTAACGTTTGCTTGTAAGGTCATACACAGGAAATCATCATTCACGAGACGGTTACCTGAAAGGACACTGAGAGGCTTCCTAATTAAACTGAAGATTTGTTCAACCACAGACAGTAAACGAAATACTTAACTTTCACCACATCGTACCCACTTCGCTGTATTTTAAGCTGAATGATACCACGTGTAGTTCAAATATCACATCTCGTAGTGAAAACACCACCCAAGAGGATGCTGGCGGTGGCAGCGCGAAGAAGTCAGGAGCCGCCGTGTTTCCCCACAGGGCTCACCCGCCGTCCGGGGCCCGGGGACGACGTAAGCTCGGGGGCCCCTGCTGCTGGGGCCCTCGGGGGTGGTGAGCAGCGGGCAGAGTGAAGAGGAGGGCACTGAGGCCGCGGCCTTGTGAGCGGGGCAGCTTGATGTGTGTGGGTCTCACGATCTTTTCCGCATCCCCCCTTCAGTAGCAGTCCGTGAGGGGTGATCACGGACACCGGCACAGCGGGGGCTTGATGCGAGGAGGGCCGAGCAGGCCCCCTCTCCCAGGGGGCCTGGAGAC